GTTACTAGCTGAAGCGACTGAAGCTGTGTGCTAACTTTAGATCTCTCCTCTATTGGTCCAAAGACTCAAATTACATTTTAAATGAAGTTATTTTTGTACTTTTACTTGAGTAAATTTTGAGATGGGTAATTTTACTTTTACTCTGAGTAGAATTTAGGCGAAGTAAAGATACTTTTACTCAATTACAATTTTTTAGTACTCTTTCCACCTCTGCAAACAGGAACAGATGAGGCTGTTCCTGTTTGGCTATTTTTTAAAATATTTCAAAGACAGAGAGCTGTACAATGTACAATTATGTAAGAATATTTCCTTTTTTTTAAATTATGATTATTATTACTGACACATCCTGAAATAGTAGGAACATTTGTCTTCTTGTAGGTGATGTTTCCAGTTCATGCTGGGCTGCTCTACAATGGTTGGCGGTTAGATGGTCGCTCAACCAGACAATGAAGTAACAGTTAACATTAAACTTTACAGGAATGAATAAAAAGATATTATGCAATAACTTTAAATTCAGTGCCCACCTGGGGGCTGTCAAACGAATGTTGTGCATTTAAACGCTGTTTAAATAATCAACAGTTTGTCATGGATTTTATGTTTTAAAAACCAAATGTTTATACTAATTAGTTTAAAATAAGGTCAAATGAGCGTTTAACTAATGAAGAGCAATTATAGTCAAAGCAATTTGAAATGCAAATCCAGGGTAAGTAAAACAGTACGTGTTAAAATAATATTTTATTAAACGATTCTCCTGAATCAGAAATTAATAAGAATTTAGATTATTTATTCTTTACCTTCTGTGATCAATCAAGACCACCTAGCTTCTTTAGATTTATGAAAAAAATGGGGTAAGGAGACAAAGGTGACTCAATTTAAAAGGACTCTTCAGTCATATTTTGGCAATTAACTCAGGGGCGGAGCTAGATGGGGGGCCATTTTTCTCCCTCTAATACAGACGGTGGCAGCAGTAATACTCTCAGGGGGAATATTCATTTAAATTTTTCATATATTACTGTTTTTTTATAGATAAATAACTAAATCATAGATAAATACCTATTTTAATAAAAATGTCTTAAATAATGAAAATATAAATTTTCTGCAGAATGATTAATGATAAAAGTCGGTAAGTAATGCAACAGCGTAGGTTTTGATTTAAACTTTGGTAGGGACACTATTGGTCTGATGTCATCGGTCCTTTGCAAAATTATGCATGCTCTGTTTTTTATGCTTGACGTGAAAGTCGGGGTGTATTTTGTTTAAAGAGAAAAGCAGCATTTCTTTTATTTTATAAGCGCTACGACACACTAGATGCTTTTTATCAATGTTTGAAGCATCATCGGCTCTGATGAATGAGGAATTATGAATTTTTTCCACTTTAAAAAAGGTTTGCATTTGAAATTACCAGCGACTAAAACAGAAAGTAAATCTGTGCCTGTTTAACCAAATATAGTCTAAATACCGTATGTCTGTTATATGTGGATTTATCCTGTTTTGTCTTTTGATGATATACAATTGTGCAGAGGTAAAACTCACACTTATATTTTAAATATTCTCCCTGTATCATGAAACAAAGCAAAATAATAGATTCAAGGGACACCAAATACATTTATTGTATAGTTACTCTATTTAACCCATATCATGTATTTTATCTTGGGCTAAAACAAGTCATTGGAATAATCGATTATTGAAATGTCAACAAATTTAGTAATTAATTAACCGTTAACTGGCATATAGAGACTCTAAAACATGTCTTTAGCTCACAGAGCGACCCACTCAGAGCAGGAATTTTACCAATTCCATTACAATACCATTGTCAAACTACTTGGTAGGGACATGTCCCTATGGACCCTATGCAAAACTACGCCCATGAAGTAATGACAATGGAAAAGTTGTTCCCCCAGAACTCACACCTGAAAAAATTG